CTAACAAACACATTTCTTTTTTTTTTTTTTTATTCATTTATCAATTTTTTTTGGACAACAATAAAAGTTTTATTATTATGGAGTACAAGAGGTACTTAGTCCCTTACAAAGTTTGCATCACATATTGTTTTGGTGATTAAACAATTTACTTTCAATATAACCCACCCTCAACCAATTAGCTTTGCATACATATGGTTGGTTGATTTAGCCAATCTACAAGAGTAATGCTCCAATCATCCTTATTTGGTCTAAGCCAATCATATGACCTAATTTGGATGAACTCAAAAATTCTACCAACCTCTGGAGATTTACCTTGAAAAACAGCAGCATTCCTAGCAAGCCAAAGTGACCAAATCGTAGCAAACCATATGATTTCCCAACCTTTACTTGTTTCCTTGTTAAATAAAAAATTGTAGTGCTGCTCAAAAGCTTCTCAACATCCACACAACATCACATTAACAATGCCCCACCAGTTTAAAGATAACTTCCACCTTATTTGGACAATTTTGCAGTGTAATGCAAGATGTTGTGGCATTTCAATCTCAAATAGACATAAGCCGCACATTGTTGCATTATAATCAGAAATAATTCCCCTTTTGAAAAAATTAAATTTAGTGGGAATCTTACCTTCAATCAATTGCCAAGAAAAAAATGCAGACCTTGTTTGGTACTATATTGTTCCATAGCTTATTGAATAGACTTTTCCTCCCTTCCCCATCTTGCATTGATAACAGGACATAAGTGGATTTTGTTGAGTATCTTTCGTCCTTTGATTGTAGCCACACCCACCTTTCGTCTTGTCCTTCTTTGAGATTTAATGCATCTAGTCTACTCTTAAGTTATGTACCATTTTTGTTTCCCATGACCTTAACTCACACCTCCATTGTAAGACCCAATGCCATTTGCCCTCTCTCCATTGACCCATTTGTTGCACTATATTCTGACTTCCTGTGGATAACAAAAACAATCTTGGATACATGTCAATAAGTGCTCTGTTCCCTACCCATTTGTCTCTCCAAATGTCCATTGACTGCCCCTCACCAATTTGCATATATATTAAGATTTTCTTCTAACTAGTCTTCTTTACCCCTTTCAACCTTGTTAAGACTACAAAAATCTCTACACCACATCGACCCTACCCTCTTACCTTCTTTAATCCAATTAGTCCAGTTCCTACCCACTTTACCATATTTAGATTTAATCACTTTCCACTAGAGATTATTTTCCCCGTCAGCAAGTCTATACTACCACTTACCCAACAGTACAATGTTAAAACTATGTAGGTCTTTCACCCCCAAACCACCCTCTTTTTTGCTTCTACATACTAGCCCACACTTAACCCAACTAATTTTCTTTTTTTCCTGACACCCACCCCATAAGAATTCTCTTCTGATATTATCAATGATAGAAATAATAACTTTTGGAAAGAGGTTGACCAACATCAAGAAGATGGGCAAAGAGCACAATATAGAATTTAAGAGTGGGACCCTGCCACCCATGGATAAATACTTGCCTTTCCATCCTAATAACCTTTTTCTGAATGTGTGCATTCGCCCATGCCATGATTCAATTCTTCTTGGGTTCCCACCGAGTTGCATCCCCGAATATTTGAAAGGAATTTCCCCATTTTTACAATGCATAATACAAGGCAATTTAACCAACCATTCCTCCTCAACATTTACTCCCATTCTATGGCTCTTCAAGAAGTTGATTTTAAGTCTTGATATCAATTCAAAACTCCTCATTATATATTTTGTTGCCTATACATTCTCCTGTTTAGCTTTACCAAAAACTAAAGTATCATCTGCAAATTGCAAATGGGAAACCTACACTTTATCTTCTCCAATCTCCACCCCTTGAAATAAGCCCTTTGTTATTGTTGATTTAAACAAACTATTCAAGCCTTCTGCCACTACCAAAGTAGATCTCCTTGTCTTAAGCCTTTGCTTATGCTAAACTATTTAGATGGGCTCCCATTTATCAAATGCAAAACTGTAGATGTATCTAAGCATTTCTACATCCAATACCTCCATTTCACTAAAACCCAATCTCATCAGCATGTAATCTAGGAATTTCCATCTAACTTTGTCATATGCCTTTTCAAAATCCACTTTAAAACAAAAACATTCATTGCCTTTCTTTTGAACTTCATCAATGACTTCATTAGCTATTACCACACTATCCACCAATTGTCTTCCCT